ACAAGCTTTCTATACCATCTTTCAACTCATTGTGACTCAAGTCTAGTACTTGCAAATCACTTTTACTGCATATATCTATATTTTTGAAGCTTTCAACTGTTTCTCCTTGAAATTTGTCATCTGGCAAGTATAGTGATGTCAAATCACAATCTTTCACGGAATAATGAGAACTTTGGAGATTAGAGAATTTATTGTGGGTAAGATTGACATGATGAATTCTCTTGATCAACCACAGTGGAACTGCAGAAGTTAGACTATTGTCTGAAAGGTCAAGGAATCTAAGGGAAGACATGTTCTGAATTACCATGGGGAATAAACCAGAAAGTCTATTCCGGCCTAGATTCATACTAGTTAGAAACCTGAACTCTCCTAGCCATAACGGAATAGAGTCAATCATGTTGTCAGAAAGGTCAAGGAATCTAAGGGAAGACATGTTCTGAACTGCAGTGGGGAATAAACCAGAAAGTATATTCCGGGCTAGATTCATGCTGCTTAGAAACCTGAACTCTCCTAGCCAAAATGGAATAGCGTCAATCATGTTGTCAGAAACGTCAAGGAATTCAAGGGAAGACAAGTTTTGCAAAGCCTTTGACACACTCCCAGAAAGTTTATTTCCCCGAAGATTCAAGACTTGAACCTTGGAAGGAGGTGTGGAGAAATTCATAGAACCATGAGAAAAACTCAAGCTGTCAATTCCACAGTGCATAAAGTGTGCGTCTAACAAGGGGAGATTGGAAATTACCTGCATCATGGAATTGATGCCGTCCATGATGTAAACTCCACTCATGTCAATGAATTGTAGAGAAGAAAGCCGAGAGACCCAAGCGAAGTCATCAACAAATGGACATTCAAAACATGTGCCATTAACAATGAAAAAATGATCGCCTGAGCTGACATCAAGAATCTGCAGGTTTGTAAGGTTTCCTAGATGATGAGGTACCCTCCCAATAAAGTTACAATTGGAAAGGTTAAGGTACTGCAATTGTTTCATGGACCCAAGGAACAATGGGATTGGACTATATTGAAAATCAATGAAGCTTAAATCCAAGTAGTTCAAATGTTTCAAGTCTAGCAAGGATGAGATCATTGCTTTACTTGACAACGAGTAGTTAATAATGAATGAACCATAAACTGTGCAGTTTGGAAGATTTCTGAGCTCATACACTGAATAGACTTTTGGGCTGAGATCAATCTTGACCACATGTCCAGTGATGCCATCACATTTGACTCCTTTCCATCTGCAGCATTGTTTGCCCTCCCAAGCCAGGACATGCCTTGAGCAATTCTCAAAGCTGTCTCTGAACTTCAAAAGAGCCTGCCTCTCTTCTTCTATGCAGCCTTCATCAGTCAGATTCTGACACAAACAGAGTTGTGAAGCTTCAAAAAACAGTACAAAGCAAATTAAAATCACCTCAAGGCCATCACTTAGAGATCTTCTCATGCTTGCTAAAGGGATTCAACGCTCGAACAAGATTATAGGGATGAGAAAACAAGATAGTTGGTGTTTCTAGGAGACTGGAAAATGGGGATGATTGATGAATTCATACTTAGAATATATGTGTGTATATATCGTGTGATGGAACAGAGACTCAAATTTAGTCACACACTACTATTCATAGTAGCAATATTAGAAGACTGAGTCAACGCTAACTTTTAGCAATGGGTCAAACACTCAACCTCAGCCGTCTATTCGTTTATACTTACTTGCGTAGAAGGAAGACTGAAGGATGCGTGAGGAAGTTTCCGCATTGAGGAATTTCCGAGAAAAAGATTGCATGTAACCAAAGTCAGTGCCGCCTTGTGACTACGACTATAATCACTGCTCTTTCTGTAGCCTATTACAAGTAATTTTTAATTAATTCACATATACCAATAAAAATAGTTCAAAGCATCATTTTTTGTCATAAAATTCAAGTAAATTCTAATATTATTCTTATTAACTACACTAAAAATTCAAGTGATTTCTAATATTATTCTTATTAAGTAAACTAAACTCTAACATTATATTAACTTTTATTCTCTCCTACTACCCTTGTTAAATATAAGCGCACATAGAAAAAATATTAATGCTCCCTAAAACTAAGCAAATACCTTATAAAAAGGACTAAGAATATTTTCTAGTTGATGGATACCTTATACAAGGCGGGATTGATTTATATTTATAACATTACACACACATATATAATATACTATAAGTTTATCTAGTTTATAAAGAGGAAAATCTAGTTGGCAAAAAAGAGGGGAAAATTTCAGTTAAATCTGACCGACATACTAAAAGCTAGATTCAAATTGACATCTTTTAATATATTGCTAATCAGGTTAAGAGACTTGATTAGAAATTTCTGAATATTGATAAATGACCAATTTGCCCCTAATGTTTACTAGCCCCTTTCCTTCTTATTCAGAATCCCGCTTTCTCCCACGTCCTTCTCTCTCAACGGGGACTTCCTCTAGCGTCAGCGATGGCTACCCCTTCATCGATGTTACCTAAGAAAATCCGGAAATCGTTCTCTGCAAATTGTTTTTCATACTCTCTTCTGGGGCCAAACCATAATCATCTGAGTCTTTCACGGATGGTTAGATTGAGAAAGTTGTTTATTGCTATGTAGAGTTGTTTATTGCTGTGTAGAGTCGTTCATGATTGTGTCTATTAGAAAAGAACAAATCAAGAAAGTATATTCCAAATTTGTGAACAAGTTTTCTTTTCTGCAATCATAACACACATCACATGCTTAATAGAGTAGGAGGAAACTGCATCTTGCGGAACCATTGCCCCTTTTTTTTTTTTTTGGGGAACACGACAAAATGATAAAATTAATAATAACAGCTGACAAAGTATAGTAAATAAGATATCCTAGATTACAAGGATTAAGCCTAAAAAACGAATATTTAGAAATGACATTAACATCATAAGAACTGAAATTACAGAGAAGCGTAAGAATCTCCTACTAGGTAATAGAAGAAGAAAAAAGAGTTGTCCTTGAGAGTTCAATGAATTGTTTCTACACACAGCGCATAGATAATGAAATTTTGGTAGTTTCGTCCAATAGACTAGAAGAGATTACCTAGTATAGTGAGGCTCTAAGACATTTGGAATGAAAAACTGGGCCTGTTAACGTAGCGCTTCTCCAAATAAATTCTTTCAAACATGGAGCCTGATGATAAATCATTCCATGGCAAAAAATGATGTTGGAGTCTTCTGTATTTGAAGAGAATAACGTTCCAAACATTACGATGCAAGTGAATATCTTCAAGAATTTGAATTTTATTTTGAGGATGATTAGGAGTGATGAGGTAATTCAGAAAAGCTAACCTCGAAAGGGAACAAATTTGTTTGAAATCATGAGCACTAAGAAGAGTGAGACCATTTTGCCTTGGTGAAGAATACCATTTCGAGTCTTCCAGATAATATTGAGCAAACATATAATTTGGTAAGCAACATCCTGCAATTGATCCCGACACAATTGTACCAAGGTAATTTTTAGCCAAGAAGCAAATTGCTCAAAAGAATTGAAAGAAATTCTGATAGATAAACTTCCAAAGCAAAGAGTCAGAGTAAAAGGGCAATTAAGAAAAAGATGTAAGAGATTCTCTTCTTCTTCAGAGCCAAATAGACAAAGACCGAAAATGTCAAGATGGTGCTGCCTTAGAATATCAACAGAAGGTGAGGACAAGGCCTTATGCAGTAATTTCTAAATGAATAGCAATTGTTTGAGAGGAATTTTCAACTTCCAAAGTAGTAGCCAGCAATCATCAGGAGTTGGAGCCAGATTGTGAGAATCATCGTGCCAAAGTAAATAAGTTCCATCTCGAACTTGGTAGATACCCTTATTATTGTCAAACCAGATAATTTGATCAGGAAGATTTTGGAGGAAAATAGGCTGAGCAACGATAGAACGAGCTGTATCCGTTGAATAAATCCCGTAAATGAGGGAGGAGTTCCATGAAACTAGATTCCACAAAGAAGCAGCATGCAATAACATATCTGATACAACGTTAATTTTAAAATGTCGCATCAGATCCTACTGCATGTTGTAATTTTTTTGGGTGTGTCAAAGAAATGATCCTACATTAATTAGGAATGTGGGAAGATAAAAATAAATTAAGCATTAATCATGGACAGATTTTCTTATTATTATTATGAATAGGAAAATCAAATGTAGCAGAGTTTTAAATGGATTTCCAATGCATTAAAAGATTTAAAAGTGGTCCATTAAAATCCTTTAATGCATTGAGGCATTTAAATTATTCAACGGAAATTTTCTATGATTATCCAATGCCTTGAAACGCTTGATATCCAGGTGCTTTAAACATGTTTTAATGTATTGAATGATGGCCATGAATTTCAAAATGGAGTAACGCCTGAAATGTTTGAAGTGCTGGTGCGTTTAGATTTTCTAATATATTAAACAATGATTATAAAATATTTATTCTTTTGCCTCCAACGGTTGAGATCATGGAATTAAATCATTTAATGTGCAACGTTCAAAACTGAAATTTGATTATCTTTAAGAGGCAGCAATGTTCAGATCATGGAGGCCTATAAAAGGGTGCTTTAGTCTAAGGTTCAGAAAACACAGCTCTAGAGTTTTCGAGCTCCTCTCTTCCCCCTCTTGTGTGTTCTCTTACCTGCTGAGTTTACTACTATCTTTTGCTGTTCTGCTCACCCTGTTATACAGGAAGGGTCTGTTTAATCCTGGGGAGTGCCGCATCCTTATCTATCGGTGGTTGCGGAATAGCTCTTAAGGATAGCGTCCTTAGGACGTGATTCGGATTAACTATTTATTTTGCAGGTGCTGCCGCCAACAATCTTAAGAGCTATTCACATCATGGAACTACCCCGCAACACTGCTGCTCAGAATGACCATGATGCTGCCTCAATCACTGTTGTTCCAACAACAGTTCCTATTCCTAGGCCGTTTCCTGACACTTCAAAAATAGAGACATTTGATGGAACGAATTTCAAGCGGTGGTAGGAGCGAGTTTACTCTGTCCTTGACATGCATGGAGTAGCTGCTACTCTTACTCATTCCGAACCAACCTCGGATGCTGATCAGGCCCAGAAAGATATCTGGACACATGCTAATAAGGTTTGCAGACACACTTTTATCAGTACTTTATCTAACGATCTGTTCGATGTGCACTGTATCTATAAGGAAGCACACAAAATACGGGAATCTCTTATCCTCAAGTACACTGCTGAGGATGCTGGGAAGCAGAAATTTGTAGTGGGGAATTTCTACAAATGGGAGATGACTGAAGAGAAAGATATCAAGCTTCAAATCAACGAGTACCACAAATTACTGGAGGAGCTTCGTGCTGAGAAGATCAACTTACCAGATGAGTTCGTAGCTAGCATACTGATCGAAAAGCTACCGAAGACATGGAGTGATTACAAACAACAATTAAAGCACAAATAAAAGTAGTTGTCCCTGTCAGTTCTAATTACCCACATAATAATTGAAGACACAAACAGAAAGGCTATACAAGCTGCGAAAGGAAAGGAAATAGCTGCCAAGGCAAACCTGATGGAATTGAAACCGCGCTCCAAGAGGTATGATTCTAAAAACAAAAATAATAAAAATAAGAAATCTGATTACAAATCCAAGGACTCTAACCCCAAATTCAAAAAGAAAGGCAATTGTTTTGTTTGTGGAAAGCCAGGGCACTATGCGGTGCAATGCAGGAAAAGGGCTACTCAAAAGGGTGATAACCTCCTAAGCCAAATGTAAATTTGGTTGAAGGAGATGATGGCAGTGATGATAAAGTCATAGCTGCAGTGGTGTCTCAAGCCCTCGTTGTGACTGATGTGAAGAAATGGGTAGTGGATTCAGGAGCCACTAAGCACATTTGTGCAAACAGAGAGATGTTTACCTCCTTTGAAGAAGGGGAAGACCACATCTACTTTGCCAACTCTCAAACTACTAAGGTTCAGGGAAAAGGAAAAGTGGTACTGAAACTCACATCAGGAAAGACCTTGGCACTGAATGACGTTCTGTATGTCCCTGATGTTAGGGCAAACTTAGTCTCTGTGGCACTGCTCGGGAAAGCTGGGGTTAGAGTGTCGTTTGAGTCTGACAAGGTTGCATGACTAAGAACAATGTTCTCATTGGGAAGGGATATTGTAATCAGGGTCTGTTTGTTTTAAGTGTTGTTGAAATTAATGAAAATGCATCTTCTTCTGCTTACTTGATTGATTCTTTTGACATATGGTATGCTAGATTAGGACATGCTCATAAATCATTTATAAAGAGATTGCAAAATCTTGGGTTAATTCATGAAATTAAAAGTAATGATTTTAACAAATGTGAAGTTTGTGTAGAAACTAAATTAACTAAGAAGCCACATTTTTCTACTCAGAGAAAAACTGAATTGTTATTTTTAATTCATACTGACTTAGGGGATTTAAAACAAGTTCAAACTAGAGGAGGCAAAAGATATTATATCACTTTTATTGATGATTTTTCAAGATATACTAAAGTATATTTATTGAGAAATAAAGATGAAGCTTTTGAAATGTTTCTTTTGTATAAAGCAGAAGTAGAAAATCAACTTAATAAAAAGATTAAACGAGTTAGGTCAGACAGAGGAGGAGAATATTTATTATTAAATGAATTTTGTGTAAAAGAGGGTATAGTCCACGAAGTAACTCCTCCTTATTCACTTGAATCTAATGGCATAGCAGAAAGGAAAACTAGAACTTTAAAAGAAATGATGAATGCTCTGCTTGTGAGTTTTGCTGCACCTGATAACTTGTAGGGTGAAGCTTTATTGTCTGCTTGTTTTTTTACAAAATAGAATACCCCATAGAAAAACTAAAAAGACACCTTATGAATTATGGAAAGGATTTGTGCCTAACCTCAAATATTTAAAAGTGTGGGGGTGTCTTGCAAAAGTTTTATTACCTGATTCTAAAAAGAGAAAGATTGGTTCTAAAACTTCTGATTGCATGTTTATTGGTTATACTAAAAAAAATGCTGCTTATCGTTTTCTAGTTTTGAAAAGTGATATTTTGGATCCTAATACGATTGTTGAAACAAAAGATGCAGAATTTTTTGAACATATATTTCCTTTGAAAGTTGAGCGTGTCCCTAAAAGAGTTGAAAACTCTTCTTTGGAAAAAACTTCAAATGATAGTTTGAGTGAGAATTTAAGGAGAAGTAAAAGACAAAGAAAAGAAACATCTTTTGGAGATGATTTTTATACTTATTTAGTATAAGGTGATCTGAAAAATTTTCATGAAGCTATTTTTTCTCCAGATTCTTAGTTTTGAAAAGAAGCTATTAAAGCTGAAATAAATTCTTTAAATCAAAATAAAAAATGGGTTTTGGTTGACTTGCCTCCAGGAGAAAACCTATTGGATGCAAATGGGTTTTTAGAAAAAAATATTTTCCAGACGGGTCAATTGATAAATATAAGGTTAAATTGGTAGTCAAAGGTTTTACTCAAAAAGAAAATATTGATTATTTTGACACATTTTCTCCTGTGACTAGGATTTCTTCTATTAGAATCCTGATTGCTTTAGCTTCGATTCACAAGCTTTTTAGTCACCAAATGGATATTAAAACAGCCTTTTTAAATGGTGATTTAGAAGAAAAAATTTATATGACCCAACCTGAGGGGTGTATAGTTCCTGGATAAGAAAACAAAGTTTGCAAACTTGTTAAGTCTTTATATGGTTTGAAACAAGCGCCTAAACAATGGCATAAAAAGCTAGACCAAGTTTTGTAAATGGTGATTGTATGATTATTTGCTTATATGTGGATGACATGCTTATTTTCAGTACTAGCATGAATATTGTGTGTGAGACAAAATGTTTTCTTGCTTCAAATTTTGACATGAAAGATCTGGGTGAGCAAAGGTCATATTGGGCGTAAAAATCATAAGGAATGAACGTGGTATCCTACTTTCTCAAGAACACTATGTTGAGAAAATCTTGAGAAAGTTCGAACATTATGATGTTTCTCCTGTTAGCACTCCTTATGATTCCAATATGCATTTAACAAAACATGAAGGAGATCCAGTTGCTCAGTCTAGATATGCACAGATTATTGGGAGTCTGTTGCATTTAATGAATTATACCAAGCCAGGCATAGCTTATGCTGTGTGTAGTTTGAGCAGATACACTAACTGCCCAAGCAGTAAGTATTGGGAGGCTTTGCTGAGGGTATTGCATTACTTGAGGGTTACCATGAACTATGGTATACTATATAGTGAATTTCCCGCTGTATTAGAAGGATACAGTGATGCTAGCTGGGTTTCAGACTCAGATGAGACAAAATCCACTAGTGGCTATATTTTCACTCTTGGTGGTGGTGCAGTAACATGGAAGTCAGCCAAACAAACTATACTAACCAAATCCTTGAGGGATTCTGAGTTTATTGCAATGGAGTTAGCTGGTTCTGAGGCTGAGCGATTGAAAAATTTCTTAGTGAATATTTCATTGGGTGAAAAACCAACACCATCAATGTCTTTACACTGTGATAGCCAATCTGCGATAGCTACGACTAAAAATAAAACCTCTAATGGTAAAAGTAGACATATTCGATTGAGACATAATATTATAAGGCAATTGCTAAAAGATGGAGTAATTTCAATCGATTATGTGAGGTCAGAAGTGAACCTAGCAGATCCGTTAACAAAACCTCTAGGGAGGAAACAAATTTATGAAACATCAAGGGGAATGGGACTGAAGCCAATTCGAAATTAACAGCGATGGCAACCCAACCTTTGTGATTGGTGATCCCATGAAGAATGTTCAATGGGTAAGAACAAGTCGTTTATTAGTTCTGCTAGCACTAAATAAACTAGCAGTCTCTTCCTATGGTGTGTGAGAAAGTGCTAGAATGCATTTTGGTGAGGCTGAGCGGAAGCTCTTAATGATTTTATAGCCTTATGGGACAGTGTACTTATTGCAGGTACACTTAATGAAATCACATCTACGAATGTGGAGTGGGGCCGCTCCTATGAGATTGTGGCAAAATCTCTAGAGCATTCGTTATGCACCAGGCATGCACATGGTTGTTTTAACGTGCAAAAACGCTGTTAACAGCAGAAATGTGGGGGTACAGTCTAACCATTAGTACCTCTAGTGCACACCAAGAGATGTTGGTTTTAGGTTCATAAGGACCACCAGTACCTCTGTGTACTAAGTATTATTGGTCTAGGTCTGGTTTTAAGTTCAAAGGACCACCAGATACTATGGGTGTACTCATGTGTGTAACTCAGCTAATGGTATTTTCTTTGACACATGTGGGGGATTGTTGTAATTTTTTTGGGTGTGTCAAAGAAAGGATCCTATATTAATTGGGAATGTGGGAAGATAAAAATAAATTGAGCATTAATCATGGACAGATTTTCTTGTTATTATTATGAATAGGAAAATCAAATGTAGAAGAGTTTTAAATGGATTTCCAATGCATTAAAAGATTTAAAAGTGGCCCATTAAAATCCTTTAATGCATTGAAGCATTTAAATTATCCAACGAAAATTTTCTATGATTATCTAACGCCTTGAAACGCTTGATATCCAGGTGCTTTAAACATGTTTTAATGTATTAAATGATGGCCATGAATTTCAAAATGGAGTAACGCCTGAAATGTTTGAAGTGTTGGTGCGTTTAGATTTTCTAATATATTAAACAATGATTATGAAGTACAAAACGGAATGCTTTATTCTTTTGCCTCCAACGGTTGAGATCATGGAATTAAATCATTTAATGTGCAACGTTCAAAACTGAAATTTGATTATCTTTAAGAGGCAAGCAATGTTCAGATTATGGAGGCCTATAAAAGAGTGCTTTAGTCTATGGTTCAGAAAAGACAGCTCTAGAGTTTTCGAGCTCCTCTCTTCTCCCTCTTGTGTGTTCTCTTACCTGCTGAGTTTACTACTATCTTCTGCTGTTCTGCTCACCCTGTTATACAAGAAGGATCCATTTAATCCTGGGGAGTGTCGCATCCTTATCTACCGGTGGTTGCGGAATAGCTCTTAAGGACAGCGTCCTTAGGAGGTGACTCGGATTAACTATTTATTTTGCAAGCACTGCCGCCAACACTGCATAGGCCACCAAAGGTGGTGGTTAATTGGGATGCTCACCCCATTGCCTTTTCCATTTCAATTTCCCAACTATAATATCAGCATATTTTGCAATGCCCTTCCACATTCAGGATGAGCTATATGGAAGTTTAATAATTGACTGACTATCTAAATTAATGTATTTGACTTTTAAGGTTGTGGCCAGCAAAGAAGAATCTTGGGAAGCCAAATTTGCTTAACAAGAAGGGCTCTATTCACAATCTTAGCTCGTTTTAATCCCAAAGCACCCTTATCCACTGGCCGGAAAAGTTTATTCCTAGCCAAAAGATGCATCCTTTTCTTGGTATCAACAGAACCCCAGAAAAAGTTGGCACATAATGCATCTATTTTGTCACCTATTGAATTAGGAATTTTGATGCAAGAAAGGATATGTATGCTCATCAAATCCAATACCGATTTAATCAAAGTTAATCGAGATGCTTATGATAGAAGTTCAGATTGCCAAGCACTGATTCTCCTATCCACCGAGTTCAACACGTACTGATATATAGGAGATTTATTTCTTCCTGGATCTATCCATATACCCAAATATTTGCCAAGCCGAGAGTGAAAATGGAAGCCCAAGAATTTAGATAACTTCATCTTATCTGCATGAGAGATATTAGGACTAAAAAGAATAAAGGATTTACCCTTGTTGCATTCCTACCAAACCAAAGTCCAAACATACTCAACATGATTTTGACAGAACGAAAATTCAAGGAATTACATTCTAAGAAAAAGTCATCAACATATAGAAGATGGGAAATTGGTTGAGCTAGCTGAAAAATTTTGATTCTCCTCTAATGTCCAAAGCTGTGAACCTTAGAGATCATACAAGAGAATGTTAGCACAGAGAATATAGGTTTAAGGAGAAAGGGGATCTCCTCGTCTAATCCCTCTATCTGATACAATAACCGGGGTGAGCTTTCCATTTATTTGAACTTGATAAGAAATAGTGGATACACAATTGATGACAATCCTGATAAATTTTTCTGGAAAATTCATTTTCCTAATGAC